CGTTGTGAGGATGTCTTCCATCTCTGCCTCACTCTCTCAGAAATGATGTTGAGGGCATAGAAGGGGTGTCGGGAGCCCTGAGAAGTAGTTCGGCTCCTGCCACTCGCTGGGCAAACCGGACCCGTCACCTTACCTCTTTGTGCCGTTTGGCCTGGAAGAAAGTCGTGTGTAAAACCTGGGTTTTCAAATTGTGGTTTGCACGTTATTCTTTTGCATTCGCTTTCATTTCAAGACAGGTCTTGTGGTTTTAAAAAAAGGTGTAAAACTAATGGTCTGAATCACTTTAAATTTGTCTTCCTCCTTTCCGCATTTTCCTACATCTGTAAAACCTCACCTCCCGGATTTTCCACGTTCCTCTACCCCTTCTCTGCACTTCAGGGGCTGTGAGCATCAAGAAGGGAAGGGGAACATCGCAAATGGCACTGTCCCTGTGGAGGTGACGGGCCATTCCCATGTTTCACACTCAAAACAAATTTAAACCCCACAAACTCCTGTGACTTTGATTATGTTTGTTCCCATTTTGCAAATGAGGGATCCGAGGCTCCAAGACGGGCAGGGCAGTGTCCTGGGAAGCACACGCACGCACACAGCCCGTGTGTAGATGGACCTTGAAGCCCTGGGGGCCTGACCCTCACAGCCCATCTGCCATTCCTTCTCTTCCGCCTGTTCCTTCTGTTCCACCCGTTCCTTCTGTTCCACCCACATTTTGCAAACTACCGACCTGTACTGTGCTCCCCCATCAACCCTGGCCTCACCCTCGCAGCCACGGGGAGAAGACCGTTCTCAGTATGTTCACTGAACCGGGAGGAATCCCAAAACAGATGTCAGGTCTTATGGACTTCTGGGCAATAGTCAGTCACATCATATCAGTGTTCTCAGCTTCTCGGTGAGGTAAAACTTGGCCTGTCCTCCCATTTGGTCTGCAGGCTTTCCCTGACTTTGGTATTTCCAAGCAAGGTAAACGTCCAGGGCCAGGGGCTCATTCGGGTTAGCCCCTCATCAGCCGTCCGGGGCGCTGTCAGAGCTCCTGCTTCCTGCTCCCCACCGGCCCTGAAATCAGGGCTCCATCACGGGGGTCACCTTCAGCCCCACTGGCCCTTGGAGGTGCCGTGTCCACTGCGGCCACACGATGGCAGCACTTCCGCACAGACCACATCCATTTCCTGTCCACTCCTGGTGGATTTTTGTCACCAGCATCAGGATATTTTCTTGCTCAGAAAGCAGATGCAGGAGCAAGACACTTGGATATATGAACTCGCAGCAAAAGATTCTGAGAAGGCTGGTCCCTGCACGCATCTACTCAAGTCATGCACCCCCAACCCAGTGCTTCCTCAGGCCCTAGGGCAAGCCTCTCCTTCCCAAATGGGGGTCCTCCTACGTGCTTCTGTCAACTCCGGATTGAATGCCAAGTTTTCCAAACTGAAGACAGCTTTCCAAATGTATTCAAAGTCTTCGGAGAAGAAATAGCACCTTATCCCTTGGCCATTCTATGCTAGCAAAGTTTTTTTTTTTTTTTTTTTTTTCAGAATGCATTAAAGTTGGGCTTGCAAAATTGGAAAATGGGATTATTTGTGAAAACATGGAGATATGCCCAGGGATGTCTATCTGGGAAAGTAGCATTTCCTCTGGCTATTTTGCAAGTGTTCCATTTTGATTTGCCAAAGTGAAAATAAAAAACAAAAAACAGTTTTTCCTGAAAGAACAAATACCACAAGTAAACTAAATACACAGGATAATGTTTACTTTTCCTAATTTGGACAGAAATGCAAATTAGGAAGTGAACTACAATTTCCACCTATTATATTAGCAGGTATTTAAAAAATATTAAATACTCAGACATGGGGGGGAGTGATGTGGCCTTTTTTTTCCTAGTGAAATTTTACACTGTCATACCCTTTTAGGAAATAATTTGGCAATGTTCACTGGGAGCCCTAAATATGTCTATATAATTTATGGGAACTCAGAGCTAAGAAAATATTAAGGAATATAAATAAAATGCATGAACAAAGACATGGAAAGTTGGAAGCCACTGTAGGAGCCTGGGAGTAGGGGAGTGAAGAATTGGGCAATGAAATCACACACCCAAGTGCAAATCCCAGCTCCTCTGCAGACTTGCTGGGTGATCTTGGGCAAACTGCACTGCCTGTATGGCTCAGTGGCATTTAGTATAGTCTCAGTGTTGTACAACCACCACCCCTGTTTGCAGAACACTTTCCTAACCTTAAAAGGAAACCCCCACTCCTGAAGCAGTCATTCCCCCATTAAATACTGATTATGAAAATTGCAGCATTCTAAGAAGGCCCTTACTATATAGCATTGTGTGAAAACAACCAGGATATAAAATCTTGCCATATAAGTAGAAGAAAAAAATCATCTAAAAGAGACTGAAAATGAATAGATGTTATAGTAACACATTTCTCAATCTCTCTTTACATATTGAAAAATATTTCTTTTTTAAAAAAATATTTATTTATTTGACAGAGTGAGGGCTAGAGAGAACGAGTAAGGGGAGCGCTGAGCAGGGAACCTGATGTGGGGCTCGATCCCAGGACCCCGGGATCATGACCTGATCTGAGAGCAGATGCGTAACCAACTGAGCCACCCAGGTGCCCCCCCAAAATACTTCTTCATAGTTAAACAAAAATAACACATATCCCCAGACACCATCAAGAAATATTAATTCCAGATTATTAAATCCAGGTCTTAGGAACATGAAATCTTATGTAATATCTGTACCTTCAAGGTTAAAATGAAAAGCATTCCGGTAGTGTCCGGAACTGACTTCTTGCTTTATACAACCTCATGGACAAACGAGATCTGTCACTGCTGCTCTGCTGTTCTGGAAGGTCATGTTGGGGATCCCGTATAACCATTTCTTTAATCTTTGTAAACACAGGCACCTTTGGTGCGGGGCTCCTCAAGGAAGCGCAGCTGCCTGTGATTGAGAACAAGGTGTGCAATCGCCATGAGTATCTGAACGGAAGAGTCAAATCGACAGAGCTCTGTGCTGGGAATCTGGCTGGAGGCACCGACAGTTGTCAGGTAAGCACCGTGTTAGTCTCCAGGCTTGGCCTCTTAGATATTTCAACCTCGAACGGCAAATTCCGGAAGGCTTTACCAACTGCAGGCCACCGTCCAGATGCTACCCAGAAAGATTTTAGGTCTGTCCCTGCATCCGGATTGAGATCCCCGAAAGGGATTTCTTGGGCCCTAAGTTCCAGATCAATGGTAAGGGAGGAGTTACATACCATCACTGCCACAGCCCACAGGTCCTGTGGGGAGCTGGGACTCATGGGGTGGTCTTTCCAGCAGGGAGGCCAGGGAAAGTGTGAGACAAAGACCACTTTGCAATTGCTTTGGGGGTTTCATCTGCCTAAGAGAAACCCCAATGCGGGAAGGGATGAGTATAACATTCACAAGGGAGTTTCTCCCTGGGAACACTAAATGGTGTGGGGTTTTGATAAATACACTTTGTTAAGTACTGAATACAGTAGATATTCAAATAGTGTATTAATCAGTTCCTTTCTAATTGGAAGAGAATGTTCAAATATTGGGTAAAGTTACATCTGGGTAACAGAAGGATGACATTCCATAATAAAAGGATGGTGGTTTATTTATTTGTTTATTTTTATTTTTCTGTTTTGTTAATTAACATATAATGCAGCATTGTTTCGGGGGTACAGGTCTGTGATTCATCAGTCTTACACAATTCACAGCACTCACTGTAGCACATACCCTCCCTGGTGCCCTTAACTCAACCACCCTATCTCTGGCCCCCCATCACCCAGTAATCCTCAGTTTGTTTCCTGAGCTTAAGAGTCTCTTATGGTTTGTCTCCCTCCTTGGTCCCATCTTGTTTCATTTTTCCCCTCTCCCCCCCCCACCAACGAACCCCCCACCCTGCCTCTCAAATTCCTCATAATCAAAGAGATCATGTGATAATTGTCTTTCTCTGATTGATTTATTTCACTCAGCATAGTACCCTCTAGTTCCATCCACGTCATTGCAAATGGCAAGATTTCATTTCTTTTGATGGCTGCATAGTATTCCATTATAGATATGAACCACATCTTTTTTATCCATTCATCTGTTGATGGACATCTAGGTTCTTTCCATAGTTTGGCTATTGTAGACATTGCTGGTATAAACATTTGGGTGCATGTGCCCCTTCGGATCACTACGTTTGTATCTTTAGGGTAAATACCCAGTAGTGCGATTGCTGGGTCATAGGGCAGCTCTATTTTCAACTTTTTAAAGAACCTTCATACTGTTTTCCAGAGTGGCTGCACCAGCTTGCATTCCCATCAACAATGTAGGAGTGTTCCCTTGTGGTTTGATCTTCACATGTTTTTTTTTCCCCCCTCTCTGTATAGGGTGACAGTGGAGGGCCTCTGGTTTGCTTTGAGAAGGACAAGTACATTTTACAAGGAGTCACTTCGTGGGGTCTTGGCTGTGCCCGCCCCAATAAGCCTGGTGTTTATGTTCGTGTGTCAAGGTTTGTTACTTGGATTGAAGGAATAATGAGAAATAATTAAGTGAATGGGAGACAGAGTGATTTCCCCGACATATCTAGAAGCTGGAACACGGGTAGGGAAGTTGGCATGCTCAGAAATCATTGACCATAATCAAACTAAGACACTGTACTTAGGCCATCCACTGCCAAACCTCAAGGTATTTTAGTATTGTTGTGGATAAGTTTTCCCCGCCCGTGGACTGTTGCATTCTGTAATGATAAAGTAACACATCTATAACATTTGTTGAAAATAAACTCTGTCCTTCCTTTGATTTAATTTTCTTGAACTTCATTGTTTTCATGTTCTTCGTTTATACTACCAGTTTTAAATAATGTACGTCTTGCAGACTTAGGTGATTTCTCTCTTTATCATAAGGCATAGTTGCAAAAAAGAACCAAGAAGCCTGTAAGATCATAGAGAAGGGAACAGAGAAGTCCCAGTAAATCACCCATATATTCACCTTGTCTGCGAAAGATGGCTTGACATACATCTTTTAAGGTCTTTATCCTGGCACTGAGATGAAGGGACGAATGTTTTCAGAGCTGCAACATGTATGGGGAGTCATGAGAACAAATTCTATTCTTGGGAATGAAATCTGTTACTGATGACTTGACGTAAGCCCAGCACAGGGGATGCTGGGCAGAAAGCTGTACACAGTGCAGGGAACGGGCATTACAAGTGTAATACAAGACCAGTAGGGAGGCTGAGTGCTATTCTGGGTCACGTCTGAATCCAGGAATGGGACCAAGAGCCCGTGAAGGAACAACGAACATAAATTGAAGGTGGACGGCTTAATTTCCTTCGCTAATTGGCTGCCCAGATAGGAAATACACACTGTCACGTGGGGACAGTTTTATAGTGACAGCGTTCAGCAGGAAGAGGGAGAAAAGACACCGAAGTTACTTGACAATTTAAAACTCTTTATTGTTACCAGAACCAAAATACCAACTCAGGGTATAGCTCCAAGGTGAGCGTATCAAGGAGGAACAGCCATCTTATAGCAGAGGGCTGCAAAGAGAGAGAAAACGTGCGTGCCCGCGGATAGGGGTGACTGCAGCGTGAAGTCCTCAAAGAGTGGTGCTTATTTCACTGAAAAATCAAACATTCATACTCAGTTTCGTTGTGCTTTAAGGATTAAAATCTTAGTCTGCAGTTGGCACCCACATCGTACATAACTGTCGTGTTTGCGTAGGATTTTCTTCTTCGTTGGCAAGATTTCCCTTGGTGCCCGTCCTGTCTGTCCACACAAAATAGTTCATTAAAAAAATCTGCATGAGATATATACTGAAAATACAAGAAATGTACCAGATAAAGCAGAACAACAGAAAAAAAGAGAGCATATTTGCATGGGAGCTCCACATTTCAAAAGTCTCCGTAACAAAACAAAGATCAGATCCCTCCTATTAGTGTCTATGACATCACTTACAAAGCTTCTGCTAATTCTTTTATTCGTGGATATAATTGACCTTCCTTTTAAATTAAAATGTAAGCTTCTTCCCAAGACAGGTTAAAAGGGTCAAGATTGAAAAGGGTCAAGATTGAACAGTCCATGTTTTTCACTGTTGACCACGGGCAGCGTCCTAGAACTGAACTCACACGTACGAGATAAATAACCCTTTAAGATCAAAATTAAGACCCATGAAATCATAGTTCCTGGATTTCGTTCTGTAAAGAACTGAGTGTGTGGCTTTAGATGTTCACGAAGGCAGGACCCAAACTATCCCCAATCATCGCATGCCCAAAACCGATGGAAGAAATAACAGAGCCAAATCCTCGAATTGGATGGAGAATTTGTTGCTAATTACGGAGTCAGGCTTGAAGATGCTGGCAAGCCCAGATGCCACAGTGGCTTAGAGAGCTCGAAGCAAGAAGAGAAAGGAAAGGCTCAGTATCGTGTGGCCCAAGGTTCTTCAATTCAGCCTCTTCGTGAACAGGATTTCCAGAACTTCAACCTCCCCCCAATCTTCAGAGCTCTCAGGTCAGAGCTTTAGTCCCTCGCTCAGGTCTGATGAACCCATTGCTGCATCCTGTTCCCAGATCCCCACTTGGCAACATCTTGCCTCCATGGCGGAGCGAGCAGCCGTGAGAATTCAGGGAAGGCTTCTCTTGTCCGTCTATCCCTGACTGGGTTGGAGACACAGCTCCAGCTTCAGAGGAAAACTCAGGCAGCGATGTCCACACAACAGGCTCTTGGCTTTGCTAAACCAGTCACACACCGTGTTCCCAGAAACGTCAATAGCACTCTAAATCCTAATTCATCCCACATTATATAAAAATACTCTGGATAGTTTGAATGTCTTTGTACAGTACGACAAATACTTGGAGCCACAGAGCATGACACAGCTGAAACAGACACACACACGTGTCGGCAAGGCACATCGGTTCCTTGGGAGAGGTCAACCCTAAGAGCTCCTTCCTTTCGTCTTTGGCAGCGGGCCTCAAAGGTGAGAGCTGGACACTTGGGTTTTCTTTTTCCTGCCACATTTAGAGGAATATGGACTATGAAAACAAGGAGAAAACAAAGTCCTATGAAGCATCATACAACTCATTTCAACAGTGTTTTCTTGCTACTACTCAATGTTACAGCTGCTTTTCATGAAACACACTCATGCATAAACAAGCAGTTCAAAGGTAGTGAAAGTGACGGTCTCCTGGGTTTTTCTTTTTTCTTTTTTTTAACCTGTTTTCAGTTGCTAGGCAGGGGTTAAGTAGCATTGCAGCATCTACGTTCTTTATGTGACAGGACGGGATGCCACCCACCCTGACATGGCCCCCAAGCTCGAATACAAACCAAGCAATTGTCTAGGAAGGCACAGTTAGCAAAAGGTTCCTCTTTTCTGGAGGAGGCAGGACCTTACAATGGTATAACACACAAGAGGAGTCCACACAGTTTTAACACCTTTTATACATTTCTTAATTTTGATTGGCAAAATGGCAAGATCTTAAAGAGAATCTTCCATCTCACTCCGAATTTCAGGTAGCATTGTTCTAGGGTGAAAAATAGGTAGAGCTTTGGGTGAGAAATAAGCCATTATTCGTCACTTGATTTCCAAACAAGCGCAGAATCTGTTTGGATGACTTCCTGGGGCAAAGGTCCCCTTGTCCTCTGACTGGCCAGTCCTATTATAAGTCAGCTGGTGGGAATGAGCTGATGGTTTTATTTTAAATACATTAAGTTTTTCTTACGAAAGTTCTGGGATCATATAGGCACTTTAAAAATGTCAGCATCTACTCTGTCCTCCATCTACGAGTGAACAGCCATGAAGTTATTCACAGTTCAGTCTTCTTATAAATATTTTTGACTCAATATTTTTTAAAAGTTCAGGGATCCACATCCTCAATTTCTAGGTCTTTATTTAGACTACTGATTTTATTTTAAAAGTTAGCTGTTACATTATTTTTTGAATTATGCAGATAATACAAGGCCCTGGGTTGTAATTAGAAAATAAATAATACAAAAGCCTACAGAGTGTAGAAGTGATGTCCTCTTCCCAATTCACTTCTATCCTCGGCTGGTCTATATTACAATATTAGATCTTTTGCTACACATTCTCATATCCATATCTTCTCTTCCTCTTTTTGTTATGAAGCATTTTAAGCAGAGGAAATTAGAATTTGTGTTCTGTGAATTTTTGTTGATATAATTCTTCATGTTTATGTACTGGTTGGGTATTAACTTTCCTTGCACATGAGTTAGATGCTCTTCTCTCTCTCTCATAATTTCTCCCTCTCTCTCCTTCCCAGTCTTCTGTCTCCTTTTATCCATCCATCCGTCCACCCATCCGTCTATCCATCATCTCTCTCTTTCCATCCCCTCTCTTTCCATCTAGCTACAGAGAGAGGTTCCTATTGTTTTGATTTTTTAATAGTTACTATAACATATTGTTCAGCAACTTTTCACCTTGTGACCCATCTTGTCATTCCACACAGATATATCTCAATTCTTCTAATCTCGATATAGTAATCCACACCAGGAACACATTAGCATTTCCATCATCGGTTTCCTACTGATGCACATGTAAGTTATTTCTACTTTCCTTTAGCTGTCCTTTTCTTTAGATTGTTTCTGAGTTTTAACACCTTACTTAGAAATGTTTCCCTCTTCCTAACCACATTTAAAAAATAATACACATTCTTCTATGGTTCTTCTCTTTTTATATTAACCTACCTTTTCTTTCCCCCAAAGATTATTTATTTGAGAGCGCACGTGCGCGAGAGAGAGAGTCAGAGAGCACAAAGCAGACTCCCCACTAAGCAGGCAGCTGGATGCCGGGACTCCACCCCAGGACCGTGGGATCATGACCTGAGCTGAGGGCAGACGCTTCACCAACTGAGCCACCCAGGCGCCTCTTACGTTAACTTCCTAAATCAACTTTGAGTTTTCTTCCTAGGATGTGAGTTGGGAATTGATATTACTCCCCTCCCCATGAATGTTCAATTTTCTCCATGTATTTTTTCCCCAGGAGTTTGAAATGCTGCTTTTATTTAAGATGCACTGAAATTCATACAATACCTGCCAAGTTTTTCTACATCATCCACTGTTTCTGGCAAGGCAATACCCTTGGTTTCGGGCAAAAGCATCACGAGACCACCACAGACCGATGCCAGGATACCTAGGGAATAGGCAACGGCGGGAGAGCATCAGGAAGGCGGGGCCAGCGACCCCCCCTCCCCCATTGCCCCTTCCTGGCCACCTTGCAGCAGCTGTGCTCACTCACTGTAACCGGCCCTCGGGTCACCCTAACCAGCTCTCCAGCTCTCCTCTGCCGCTATGGGAAGTGTTCCCTCCCTACCTCAGACGCCGGGCAGCCCCACCATCTGGGCACTCTCGTGCACATCCATTCCTTCACTCCCCAAACAGTCACTCAACGGGTGCCTCGGTGTCGACCCTGCAGAGAAGATCCCACCTTCTTCTTTTTTTTTTTTTTAAACATTTTATTTATTTATTTGTAAGGGACAGAGGGAGAGAGAGCGAGCGAGCACAGGCAGACAAAGAGGCAGGCAGAGGCAGAGGGAGAAGCAGGCTCCCTGCTGAGCAAGGAGCCCAATGTGGGACTCGATCCCAGGACCCCGGGATCATGACCTGAGCCGAAGGCAGCCGCTTAACCAACTGAGCCACCCAGGCGTCCCAAGATCTGCCTCTCGGGGAAATGGCAGCCCCCAGATAGGCATCCCTTCGGTTTCCTTTTCCCAGCCAAGAGCTTTACTGCCTGCTCTCCCCTCCTTTCCTTACTGGGTCACGTCACACAGTCTGACTTGTCCCCGCTGCAGCCCGCCGCCATCTCTCAGAGTCTTTCTGGGCTCCTCCCTGGACCCAGGAGCCCTCAGGCTCCAGCTGCTGGAAGCACCCAAGGGGACAGGAGCCTCTCATCGGCAGGGGCCCTTCTCCCCACCTCGCAGGATCCTCCAGTTACCATCCCCCCCTTTGCTGGTCTTTAGAGCAGAAATTTGGGAAGCGTCCTCCCCCACTCTGTCCACTTATGCTGGTGAATGTTTACCGACCAGCTCTCCAGAAGATAAAGCCCCAACGCGTAGCATTTGCCAATTTCCATGGTGCAAGGACTCTCCCCGGGGACACCCCGAGCTAGTGCCCCGACATCACCACATGAGGCGCTGGGAAGGGCGCTGCAGTGACGCCCTGTGTCTGGCATTTCCTTCGGAAGGATACACTCAGCAAAAATCACCGGAAGAACACCCACCTGTTTTAATAATGGCTAAATTAACCCCTGGGCTCCAACACTCCTGAAAACTTCACAACTGGCCTTGGCTGGTGGGTGCCACCAGCTCGAGCACCAGCACTCACCGCCTCGAGCCAGGCTTCGCCTCTGCCTGCTCTCTCTTGCCCCTGAGCTCCTGCCCTGCTCCCCTCCGCTCCAGAGACACAGGCTCTGCTTCTGGGGCCTGGCGGTCTCCCCCTTTCCCAGCCGGGAGCCTGGCCTCACACCTTCCTCTGGCTCAAGCAAGCCCACTCAGTCAACCCTCTCGCTGGTTTTACTTCAATTTATTTCTTGAATCTCTCCATGCCCAGCACTCCCTGTGTCATCCCCTTGACCCCGCTGCCATGAGCCCTTACCTGATTAACTGGCTGACGACCGGCACTGTCCCCGTCCAACCTACTGGCGGATGGGCCATCAGAGCCAGCCTTCTAAAATGCAAACCTAGCACTGTCAATCCCAGCTTAGAGCTCTTAGCTTCCACGATTGTTTGGATAAAGAGCAAATCACAGAACTAGGAAGACCACGATCTGACTCACGCCTGCCTCGCAGCTTCACCTCCCTCCCCGGCCCCACCACACACACTCTCTCTGTCCTCTAACTGGCCTTCCCACTGCCTGAAGCCCCGGCCACACTCGCCATGTGGCCAATTTCTACTCGTCTCCGATCTCAACTAGACATCCTTCCTTCCTCCTTGGCTCAGGCAGGTGGGGAGTCCCTGTGTTACGCAACTCCAGCGCCTCTGCTTTCGGTATTTATCACGCTGTGATGTGACCAAGGGTTTGGAAGTGTGGCTCTCTCCCCGGCCGAGACCTTGAACCACTGGACTCCCTGACCACTTGGTCTTGGTTGAACAATGGCACCCTTCGCTTTTCCATGCTGGCCGCAGAATTGACACTGAGCTAATTTTTCAGATCCCATGAAATAATTTGGAAAGAATCTTGTGCTGAATTTGGTGGTGTCAAGTGGTTAGAAGCTTTACTATCCCTGGCTAGCACTGTTGGGAATTTTGCATTACTCAGGATGTATGGCCTCATGGACCGATATTTTCATTATAATTTAAACTGCAGAGCAACATGTGAAAAACATAAAACATTCTCTACCAGGAGTGAGGACATGGAGGTGGTGGAAAGATACATGAGAAAGGGATCCCCGGGTCCTTCCTTGCCAAGAAGGGCAGAGGCGGGTATGAGACCCAGGCAGAAAGGTTGGAACAGCACCTGAGAAGCACTGGACTGAATTATCCTGAGCCCCCTGCCCCTAAACTTTGGTTCTAGCCCCTCGTGCGGCCTGTGGAGGTTGGAGCAGGAAGGAGAGTATGAACCCGAGGGCCAGAACAGAGGTTACTGGGTACTCAGGCAAGGGATTCTGTGTCCTCTGTTCTTCCTACACAGCAGGGTCTGCATCAAAGCAAACGAAAATGTGATCTCAATAGATACAGAACGTTTAAAACTATAATCAGGTTTGAGGCTTCTTTTGAAACAAACGGAAGGTCCGAGTTCATCCACTGAAAATTATTGGCTCTGTTCCCCAATATCATAAGACTTTTAGAGCACTGTACTTTATCTCAGAACCTAAACAAGGAAAGCTAAATTGAACATGACTCATCATGACCCTTTGATAGAAAATAAATTAAAAGCATTTAGGCTTTCACATTGCCATGTAATCAGATGGGATACTCAAAACTCAAGCAGCTGTCTTTAAGAAGTTAAATGACCTCCTTAATAGCAAGCGGAATAATCACCATCAAGTTCTATTAATACAGGGAACATAGATGAACACATTTAGAAATAATGTGTAGAACGAGTTCTTACCAAAGATGATAAGAGGTAGTTCCAGCCAAATAGCCGCCAGCCGGAAGAGCAGAAATGGGGCTATGATTCCCCCAAAATCACATAAACCTGAGCAAAGAGAAACTCCAAAGTTTCTGTAGAGTAAAAAAATTGTTTTAAATAAAATATATTTAACTATATTCAAGATAAGAAAAATATTCAGATATACAAGTCATAAATTTTAGTAATATTTCCCATTTCTATAGTTTTTTTGAAAAAAAATTATTTATTTAGTTAACAGAGACAGAGAGAGAGATAGAGCATGCACGAGCAGGGGGAACAGCGGCAGAGCAGGCAGAGGGGGAAGCAGGCTCCCTGCCGAACGAGGAGCCCGATGTGGGACTTGATCCTAGGACCCTAGGATCATGACCTGAGCTGAGCCACCCAGGCATCCCCCATTTCTACAGTTTTTAACTCTGAAAATGGCTATTCGTCCCATATTCTAAGCAAATCGTTTCCATTCTGCCCCATTTCACATCTGGGCAAAGGCTGAGTCACAGCGAAGACCGTGCGGTGGAAATCCTCTCACCAACGTCTCACTCCCCAGCCCACTCGGCGATGCTGATGGGGTGACTTGACTCCCTCACCTGACAGTGAGGTGTGCCCACGAGTATTCCCCCAGGGAAGGAGGCCGTTGGAGCCCATGCACACTGTTTCGCTCTGTCCTGCATTATTAAATCAGCAGCTCACAGCGGCAAGACGGGGAGTGTGGTCAGAACAGAGGCTGTAGCCTTTGAACAGGATGACGCTGATGCAGACAGTTTTAACCCACATCTAAGCAAGTACTGTAATCAGATTATCTGATCCCACAAAACCACAGCCGAGTATAAAGATACTGGTACGGAAATACTTCTATCAAAAAAAATGCAGAACGTAGCAATGCAGAAAGTAGCCCTAACTCAAAGCACATCTTCTTTCCTGGCTGAATTCAGCCCCGGCTAACATATGGCCCAGTTAAGGAAACAATTTAATGGCTTTGAAGTCAAAACATTTGGCTGCAGAATTACTTAGGAGAAACAATGACATATAAGTTGGAATTACCGTAATGTTGTTGGGTACAATTCTGAATTTACCAAATAAACAATTTCAAAGGCCATGGTTATCCCTAGTCTTCCCAGGGTAGCAACTGTGGTTCTCAACCAGGGTATTCCTGTGAACACAGAAAATTTGGAAGGAAACAGTTAGGGGTCTGCTTTCAGTAAAAATACCACAAATCAACAGAAGGCATTTGCTTAGAGATTTTCCCAGGCCCTAAGTCTTTGCCAATTTAAAGCACGAATGACAGATACCTCCTAATATTGTAGCCAGAATTTTTTTTAAGATTTTATTTATTTGACAAAGAGAGAGAGACCACAAGAGAGGGAACACAAGCAGGGGGAGGGGAGAGCGAAAAGCAGGCCTTTCGCTGAGCAGGGAGCCTGATGTAGGGTTCGATCCCAGGACCCCGGGATCATGACCTGAGCTGAAGGCAGATGCTTAACTGACTGAGCCACCCAAGCGTCCCAGTAGACATGTTATTAGTGTTACTTAAGGGAGATAAATTTTCAATAATCTCACTCTCCAGGGAATTACTTTTTTTTTTATCTGAAAGAGGACACAAGTTGGGGAGGGGGAGAGGAGGAGCAGACTCCCCACTGAGCAGGGAGCTCAACCTGGGGCTCAGTCCCAGGACCCTGAAATCATGACCTGAACCCAAGGCAGAAGTTTAATGACTGAGCCACCCAGGCGCTCTATCATAGCCAAATTTTAACAGCAACAACCACCAGGATGAGAGCTAATGTGTGCTAGTCGCCTTTCTGAGCAGGGTTAGATGATAGGAAGGCAATTCAAGAACCATTTCTTGAATGGCCACTAGACTGAAAACAGTGTTCCAGGCATTGCTTTCCTAGAGGGCCTGACTGCATTGGATGTCTGTCTGGAAAGTGGTCTTCACTTGGGCCTTGAGAACCATTACCGCAGCCTGGTACGCATCTGTCCTCTCTCCGTTCCCACCCCTAGTGATAGCACACAGCACAGCTGTTCCTACCAGACCAGGAGAAATCTGGACATGAAGCTGGTGTTGGTTTCTGAAGGCTAGCCAAGGCTTTGAGGACCGGAACCTTTGGAAGGGGACACTTATGCCTTGTGTTATCACTAGAGTGTATGTCCCCCATCTTGCTACTTCCCCCAAGAAATCACCCAGAGGAGACGGCTTCTTAAAAATTAGTTGGTTCCTTCATTTAAAAATGAACTGTTTGAGGGCTGCATTGGTTATATGAGGAAATTCTCCTTTCTCCACAGTAACTAGTGGAAAAAGCCAAGTGTTCCTCATTAAATATTTTCTTTCTCTCAAGGTTTAAAGGAAGAAGGAGTAAACCATTTTTTGCCCTACAAAGTCAGTGCTCTAAATCTCTTAAGAGTTGCGCAGTTTATGCCCACCTTCTTCAGTGGACACGGGTGTGAGGACATATGACCTCACCAATAGGCTTGAGTCTGTTCTCCAAAGCGAAGCTAAGGATGTTCTGACTTCCATCTTTGAAAAGGAAACCTCTCCCTTTTACACCCATACTCATGCTCACTCAGCACAAAACGGCTCTCTTATCTCCGAGAAGAATGATTGCCCCTTCGTGAAAAATGATTTTTTTTTTTTTTTTAGTGGACACTTAGGCATGAATGCAGAGGAGGACAGAAGAGAATCAAGATCAGTAGATGTACGGGCATTCTCTGCAGAAGAGTCAACAAAGAAAAAAACCCCGAAAACTCACTAAACACTACATTGTCTAGGAGGGCGGGCACAGAAAAAGAGAGTTTAAGACCATTGCTGGGAGGCTCCAGCGTATGACTACGACACTGCGTTTTGCTTGCACACCGGCTGAGGACGTCCTGACGGACTTGACGTTTCTCCCAGATGACAGCATCTGCAGCGCCCCCGTATCAACAGCTCCATCAGGGGTGAGGAGTATCAGCCTTGTGCCCATGTGCCCGGCTGCCATCTGCTCGGGCACGGAACGGTTGTAAACATGTGTTTTATTTAGGCTTTGCCTTTTCACGAAGGCCAGGGAGGGGGACCAGGAAATGCATTCCACCCCAGGCTTCAATGAGCAGGCGGTGCAGTGCCAGGTGCCAGGGAACGGAACGTGGCAGCTCTTGCCCGGATTCCCTGGGTCCCAGCCTGACCGGGCAGCCTTTCGCTGCTCTCGGGCTGCAAAGAGTGTCGCCTGCTACTGTGGAAACAGCTTGACTATCCAGGTTAAGTTCTCAAGTTTTAGGTCTTTTTTTCCTACTGAATCAAGACAACTCTGTAAGGGAGTCCCGCTGACAATTTCAAGGACAGTTTAAGTTTACGGAGGAGGCTGGAACTGTTTGCTGGAAAGAACCAAACAAAAACCCAGAAGCCAAATGAAAACACACACGTGTGCACATAAAACATGTGATTAGCTCAGGGAAGACAGGTAAATGCCCAGTCAAGTGAGTACAATGTTCAGAAAACGCTGTCAGCGGAGACCCGGGGAGGAGCCGTGGTTTCTCCTCCACGTGGGCTGGACTCTGAGAGCCTCTGGACTCCTGAGCAGCAGAGGCTACTGTGTAACCACACTGAGCTAGAGATCTGGGTGAAACGTGTAATAACACAAACAACCAGAGGCACGGAGAGTGAAACGAAAGCAGTTTGTTAGGAAGTGCAAATGATATGTGACTATCACGTACGCAAACAGAAACTTCCGATCATCCCAGTGATAAGCTGCCTTTATCTTGGAGCAGCGGTAGACACCTTTTACAGCAATGACAAAGGAACACAAGACAATTTACAAATGAGGACTGAGGCTGGCACTCTCTCCACGGAGTCCCGAGAACACAGAGGAAGACGGTCCCTCTGAATAGGGGTTTGGTCAAGAGACTGGAGATTACTGGGAGTAAGACCTCAAGTTTTGAAAAGCAGGATACAGGATTTTAAAGAAACGCTATTTGATGTCTCCTCTGAATGTACCATCTGCTTTGAGTTCTGAAATACAATGTAGTGAAAATTTGTACTAGAGATGTGTAAATTAAGGTACATTGGCTGGTTTTTCACTTAAGAGGGAAATAAAAGCAAAAGGCAGCCTTTCTGTTTCAAAGGGCGTACTTAACCAGGCGGTTAGGTCTGTAGCCATCCCAAACAAATCCAAATGAAAGACTCAGGCCAGACCACTGTAGACAAAGAAAACCCTCTAGTTTTCCGACTTTAATCAGAGTTCAAAAATGTGGGTCAAAAGCAGTGAGGTTTAAGTGAACGTACAGCCAGAAAGGCTTTCTTTTTCCAGAATCTCATTCTTCAGGCCATAAAAAGTTGTGTTTAGTGGAGGGGAAGCCAGTTAAACTGTTCTCAATAATTTTAGAGCTGATTCCTCTAAAAGGCTAATCAGTATTCTCTGCATGGGCCATCCTCCTCTTCCTGACATCAAGAATGACTGAGAGGAAAAGTCTTTCTAATGTTAATTCATCAGCCCAAGTAACCAAGTCCAAAAGCTCCCTTCAGGAGAAAGGCTGCCAAAGGAGTAAGAACTGCCCCTACACTGTGGGTACTCACAAGGAGCATTAGGGATGTGAATTTATTCTTGCCCATCACGACTGACATATGACTCTCTGGAAATGCACAATCTGCGTCCAGAATAAGAGCATAATAATTACTTTTCAGGATTGCTGAGAACAATTCTAAAGCTGAAATCAGGAAATGGTATCTTCAAAATAAAACTGATCAGATCACACGGAAAAGTCTGTTCTTTGCCTTACATTTTTCCATATAGGAAAGTGTTCTCTACAAAATCGCCTGATTCCCATTCATCTAGTTACTCCAATGTTGGCGCGGGCACATGGTCTAGAATGCTCTCTGGGATCACGTAGAACGCTGTGCACGTCAAAATCACCCCAATCGGTCTGAGTCCAGACAGAATCTTCCAGGGGAACATTATATCATGAAATGATGGGCCATCCATAAGTCCTTAACCTTTCTCCACCCAAAAGTCCTTAACCCATTCCTTAATTCCATGTGCAACAAATACTTCTTACTCCATGTGCCCTGAGAACAGAAGACCTCCTGGTAGGATATTCAACCCCAAATGATACAACGTTAAAGTAAAATGGAAACAACAGAGAAGTCCAGCATCCTCCATTTGTCCCCCTTCTGCTTAAATTGAACACTATCGCCAAGGGCAGAAGTTATGTCCATCTTGTTCACTGCTCTGTTCCTACTCCTAGTTTAGTGGTGGCCATTCATAGATACTAAACAGACATGCATTGACCAATAGATGTTACACAGATTGTCCGACTCTTAGAAAAATGTTTTAACTCAATGTAGTGGGTTGAATAGTGTTCCCCAATGTAGTGGGTTGAAGAGTGTTCCCCAAAGTCCATGTCCACCTAGAACCCAGAATGTGAGTGTATTTCTCAACGGGTCTTTGCAGATGTGATAGTTAAGATGCAGAGAAGAGAGGGTCCTATGAAGATGGGGGCAGACATTGGGATAATGTCAAGGAATGCCTGGGGGGTTACCAGCAACCCCCAGAAGTTAGGAAGAATGAGCCTTCAGAGAGAGGCTGGCCCTGTCCACACTGGGATTTCAGACCTCCAGCCTCTGGGACTGTGAGAGAATATATTTCTGTTGTTTCAAGCCCCGCCCCCCAGGGCGTGGTACTTGGTTACTATAGTCCTAAGAAACTAGTATACTAGAAGAAAATAAGATCGGTGTAAATAATCAGTTCTGTTAATCATCAACCAAATCAGTAAGACTGAAGACTTTACATCTTTTTAAAATTTTCTGGTCTGAAGGTGGACATTTTTGTAATTTTTTTTTAAAGATTTTATTTATTTATTTGACAGACAGAGATCACCAGTAGGCAGAGAGGCAGGCAGAGAGAGAGGAAGGGAAGCAGGCTCCCTGCTGAGCAGAGAGCCCGATGCGGAACTCGATCCCAGGACCCTGAGATCATGACCTGAGCCGAAGGCAGCGGCTTAACCCACTGAGCCACCCAGGCGCCCACATTTTTGTAATTTTATTCAAGTAGGGTTTGGGGACTTCATAAACCATCATATAATTAATAAACTCATCTGTAAATGCCTGTTTTCACTTCCACAATATTATGCCTTCTTTCTTGATCCTCAGATGATTCTCCTAAGAAAAGACAGTCTCTCTGGGGCCGACACAAGGACTCCCGGAGAACCCGCCCTCTCAGGAACCTCCACCTCACATGCGTGGCACCTGAAAATAATGAACTTGCTCTGATTCGCACATTCCCTGGGACTTGGCAGGGCTTCCCCATCCAGGGTCCGCTGTGCCCTGGGGCAGAGAAGATGTGGGTTGTAGGACCCATGCATCTGGGGTCACTGCCCCCTCTGCAGCATGCTATGGTCATTGAGCAACCCTGACCTCTGACACATCCCTGAAATCATCCTCTCTCGCTCGGGCCGACTGCCAGGACACTGATTCCTGCTCTCGGCATCCCTCCCTCCTCACTGCTACCAGCCAACCTGATGTGACTATGAGGAAGCTAGCAGGGCCATGCCCAAGCTCCTGGCATGGCCCGTGAGGCCAGTCACCGCTGGTGGCAGGCTATCTTTCAGGCCCTTTTTTGGGAAACTTGAGCGATAACAGAGAACATGTGATCCCAGATCCCTCAAAGATGGCTCATACTTCTGAGAGCCGTGCTCTGCTGTGAAAAAACATCTCTCCTATCCTTCCCTTCTGTCAAGGGGATTTATTTTTTCTTTTATAAAGTTTGCTTATTTATTTATTTTTAGTAATCTCTACACCCAAAGTGGGGCTCAAACTCACGACCCTGAGATCAGGCTGACTGAGCCAGCCAGGCCCCCCGTCCAGTACCTCTCTCTTCCTCTTTCATACGTGCCTAGTTCTCGCCTCTGGGTAGTTTTTCCTGACCACTCCATGCACAAGACTCCTTGTACCTATTTTTTTTTTTTTTAATCATGTAGAACCTTCAGAGAGCTTTATTTTTCTGAATCTGGTACAGTTGGCTCCAGAACAACAGGCTTAAACTGCGTGGGTCCACCTATGTGCAGACAGTATTTCCACTACACTACAGTATTTTTCTCTTCCTTATGATTTTCTTGGTAACATTTTCTTTTCCCTAACTTCATTGTGAGAATACAGTATATAAGGCATATGACATATAAAATATGCATTCGTCGACTCTTTTGTTATAGGTAAGGCTTCTAGATAACACTAGGCTATTAGCAGTTCAGTTTCTGAGGAGTGAAAAGTTCTATGCAGGTTTTTGCTCATGCAACGAGTCAGCATGCCCTACCCCTAATGACAAGGTTTACTTCTAACTAATTCTATTATTTCATTTATCACAGGGAGTTGTGAAAGCATTAAAATATCTATATCAATGTTCATAGCAGCATTATCAACAAAAGCCAAGTTATGGAAAGAGCCCAGATATCCATATGTTCATCGACTGATAAATGGATAAAGAAGATGTGGGGGTGTGTGTGTGTGTGTGTGTGTGCAATGGAATACTACTCAGCCATATAAAAGAATGAAAGAATAAAATCTTGCCATTTGCAATGGTGTAGTTGGAGCTAGAGAGTATAATGTTAAGTGGAATCAGTCAGTCAGAGAAAGACAAATACCGTATGATCTCACTCATATGTAGAATTTAAGAAACATAACAGTTGAATGTGGGGAGGGGGCAAGAGGCAAAACTAGAAACAGACTCTTAACTATAGAGAACAAACTGAGGGTTGCTGGAGGGGAGGGGAGTGAGGGGATGGGCTAGATGGGTGATGGGCATTAAGGAGGGCACTTGCGATGAGCACTGGGTGTCCTATGTAAGTGATAGATCACAAAATTCTACATCTCAAACTAATATTACACTGTATGTTAACTAACTAGAATTTAGTTAGAAGAACTTGGAAGAAAAGCAAATTTTTAAAAATGGAGTGTCCATACTCCTTCCTAGGTCGTGAACCTTCTGGAGTCAACGGGTATCTTCCTTTCTTCCTTTTGTAACCCTGGTATTTTGCATGGGGCCAGTGATACTGCAGGTAATCAGGAAATACAGTAACCATGGTCAAGGAGTGCATGCGAGCCAGCTGAATAAAAGTGATCAGTAATAACCTACATCACTATAAGCTAGACTCTGCATGACAGCTATTCCATCCATAAATGAACCTAAAGTGGAGAAAACAGAAAAATCTGTAGAACCAATCCCTACACGCAGAATCATTACACCACTTAAGAAGAAAATTGGATGATATCACTATAGGTTGACCGGTACCAGGATTTTGAGGGTGGTACATTTTTGAAGGACAAGAAGTTCCCCATTCTTGATTATTTTGATTTAGGACTATTTCATGTTCTTGAGTGCTGGACAGATTTGGGGGATTATTACCTTCGGGTAAGAATGCAGTGACAAGGCAGGCCACCCCCGCCACTATGTTGCTTCCCGCGAAGGGAAGGCGTCGTCCAAAACGCTCAATGGTCAGTAAGATCAGGAGGGCCGCGGGCAACTCCACAACTCCTGAGATGAAAAAGTCGATATAGAGGTTGCCTCCTATAATTCCCAGGCGCATGACGAGTCCCTGATATACCACCGCGCTTGTGAACCTGGAGCAACAGTGAAAAACAACGGAGACCAAGTAAGGCATAACTTCAGCCTGCTCCAAAGGAAGGGGCACATTTTAAATTCGATACAAGCTTTTGAGCCCATCGCAAGTCAGACTTACCAAGCAAACATAAGAATAAGTGTGCACTTCCTCATTTGGGGAGTCCTCACCAGATCTAAAAAGGATGGGTTACTAACCTCCTCATCTGTAACAGTGATCTATATAAGAGAAGCAGATTTCAGTAGCAAATACAGCAAGACACACCTGCATATTATAGATTTTCATTGACCAGATTCAAAGCCACCAAGTCAAATGATCTGACTGAATCGACCAGGGTCTTTCACGACTACGTCTTAAAACCTGAGAATGGAGACTTTGATTCCTTCGCCGTCATAAAAGGTCAGATTCACAAAGATGTGGTTGCTGCAGGAGAGGCTGTTTTGAGGCAAGGACCGGGGGTCCCATATGCTAATCTGCTCGGACTCACCAGGGACAAAAGGTGTGTTTTAAAGTACAACACATGTGTGTGTTTATTAAACTGGAGAAAACAAATGTAAAAATGGCATAAGTAGCTGGGATCCAAATGAGTGTTTCTTTATTAAATTATCAACCTGATGTTCAATAAGATTATCTTAAACTCAAGAGCAAGCAGGGCCCCAAAGGTGTCCGTTTGCTTTGGTCCATTTATTTGAATCAAGTATCTTTTCGATCCTGGAAAATTCAGCTCATCTCTATTTGGTCATCCAAGAAGTTGGTCTTTTCTTTCATTGAATGAAACAAATATTGCTGGTGCTTATGATTTATAAGGCACTATAAGGGAAACAAAGCCAAAAAGCAGGTACTTTGTCAGTCACTGAGGCTAAGCACGACACTGGATGAGTCAAACAAAGCTTAGTATCTCCTGTCTGCTTGTTCCAGGGACGATCCCAAGCAAAAGAAGACTGCAAAGTCAATGCCTTTGGATCACCTTCTCTCCCAATACCAGAATCTCTTCTATCCCAAGACACGTATGTTTCACATTTTAACCTTTCCTAAATTGGGATGTGTCCTACAACTGAGCCGAAAAGAAAACAATACGTTTAATAATATGTTTCAGAGCATGGTTTTTCTTACTTAGTGGTACATAAAATGATGGGTCTTACAATCAATAGGGTCTTAAAGTCAGTGACACAAAACTAGTTTCCATGACAATGCCTGCGGAAGACTGCTCATTGGTTCTACCATCCATTCTTCTTTTCTCCCTTTTGATAACAGAATCCACTGAATTTCAGTTTGGTGCGTGAATACCTCTCCAAGTCACATTTTCTAGCCTCTTCTTCAACTATGGGCAGCCCTTTGATTAAGCTCTCAGTAATAAGGTAGGAATAGAAGCCATGTACGCAAGTTCTAGATCTAATCCTTTAAAAAGAAATGGCTTTTCTCTTTATTCACCGCCTTCCCTCTCCTAAGGGATGGAAGGAGATGCTGGTAAATTAGCTTTTCCTTGACAACCTGTTGCAGGTAACATTTGCAGAAACAAGATAACTGGAACCTGGGTCCTGGAGGCACTCAGGGACCAGAGCTGCCTTCTAGTGCTGGGCTGCTTACCTCTGGGTGAGCACATGTTCAAGAGAAAGACACTTTTCTTCCTTCCTTCCTTCCTTCCTTCCTTCCTTCCCACCCTCCCTCCCTCCTTCCTTTTTCTTTCTTTCTTCCTTTCTCTTTGTTTCTTCCTTTCTTTTTCTTTGGTCATTATATTTTGGGGTCTCTGTTTCAGCAGCAAGTTGACCTGTACTCTAAATGAATACAATGCTTATGAAAATGTTCCCCAATCTACTCTTCTAAATTCTAAGAATTTTTAAGACCTTTGCCACTCCAAAAATAAGGCAGAAATACCAAAAATGGAAGAACTTCAGGTATTACAACAATGTATCATTATATGGTTGGTTATCAAAATGGTTTCCACAATTACTTTCCTATCTTGTCCACGTTAAAATAGTTCACTTCTGCCTGGGCGGCTCAGTTAAGTGTCTGCCTTCTGTTCAGATCATGATCCCAGAGTCCCAGCATCGACCCCCCCATTGGGCTCCCTGCTCAGTGGGGAGTCTGCTTCTCCCTCTGCCCCTCCCCCTGACTCGTTCTCTCTCTCTCTCTCTCAAATAAATAAATAAAATCTTCTTAAAAAAATGGTTCATTTCTAAAGAGCATGTAATACTTGTTGGATTCTGGGCTAACTACCTTACATGGATTATTTCATTTGATTCTGTCAAAATCCTCCAAAGTTATCAATCCTGTTTTATAAAAAAGAAAAACAAGGCTCAGGACTTGAAGGGTTAACGGGAAGGCGGTTGAGCTGGGATCTGCAATCAGGCATTTGATAGGGACCCTTTATTCTTACTGATCACATCGCTGCTGAATGGATTCAAGGCTTTTTTAGAAAACTTCTGTGTAGCTGATGGTCACTTCCTTTCCAAGGAAGGATGTTACACATTTGGCCAAAAAGCTAACCTTTAGTTAAAATATAATTTTATGGAAAAGTTGGATTTGACTAAAATCTAGAGCTTGAGGACCTTTAAATTCAAGATCAAAACTACCCAGACTGCGAGGGCAGCTGTCGTCCATGGCTATTTCACTTTTTCCAAGGAGTCTTTTCTTTTCACTCACTTATGGGTTTTCCACGCTCAGACTTGGGTCAGCTTGACTGTGCTCATTCAGACGACTCCCTTTTCTCTAGGGAGTCCCGGGTCCAGTCACTGTGCCCATCCACACATCTGTACCACTGCTCCCCAGAGCACACAGAGGGTGACGATCTTTTCTTTACTAAAGCAGTATTTGCCACAATTTGTTATGGTTTCTCTTTCATTCCTTCTTCAGTCTTCTTATCTTCTCCCCACAGCTAGGACTTCTATCGACTAGATAAGACTACAAATTCGCTTTCATTCACGTCCCAGTGTCAACACCCCAGAGTTAAAGGAGATCATGTATCATATATTTCAAGATCTCTGGTCAGTTCAGGAAGATAACTTGACATTTCAGCACTTTTGTAGATTTTTTGTCACTCGCGGTTCTTAGAACTATCCCAACCTGATAAAACATCTGAGCATCTCTTGTTTTTGTGGTATCTCTGCCAATGTCACTTTTTCTTGATTGTATCTCCGGGCTGGTTAAGTTACTACACAACCACAGAATTATGACATGATAGATTTTGACAAGACAATAGAGGCCTACTGGTCTGACCCAGAGGTCAGCACTTTTTTTTTTTTTTTTGCAAAGGACCAGATTATAAGTACTTTTGGTTTTGTGGGCAATATAGTCTCTGTTGGAGCTATTTAACTTTGCTATCGCAGTGTGAAAGCAGCCACAGATGGATACACAAATGGATGACTATGGCCGGATCCCAATAAAACTCTGTTTACAAAAACGGGCAGCAAGCCAGGTCTGGCCTGCAGGCTGTAGATTGCTGGCTTCTGAACTAGAAGGTTAGTGCTGTTGGAACTTATAAATGATATTCTTATACCCATCACAGAGAGGAAGAAGTTGAGGCACAGGAAAGATAAGTAGCTTCCCCACAGAGGACCCACAGACAGTAAGTAGATGAACCAGGAGGGGGACACCCAGGTCTGTATGTTAGTAACCATTATGCTCTAACTGTGTCGGCAGTAGGCAGAGTATAATATTTATTTTAATGTTGAAAAATATGCTTGTATCATTAGTGGTTCTCACAGGGTAGTAAGATTATGGTGGGTTTTACTTTCTTCCTTTTTGCTGTAAATATTCTCTTAAAATTAAAATTTAAACCGAAAGTCCTTCTCCTAACAAGAAGAACTATACCTTACCTTTCAAGTAACGGATTTAAGTGAGACCCTAGTGTACGTTTTTTGTTGTTGGCTCTGTGTCATTCTTCCTTTCTTGGTCTTAATAGAACCCTCACTGCGCCTCCCCCCATCAATTCCCATTCTCAGGGGAGCTGATTCTGTTTCCAATTGTAGGGGAGACCTGGTTGCCGAAGGGCAATTCTACCCTCTGTGCCAGTGGCTGGGCACGAGACCCAATTTGAACCAATGAGAAATCGTCTCGAGAAAGTCCTTCACTGGGGGCACCTTGGGTGCTCAGTTGGTTGAGCACCTGCCTTCAGCTCAGGTCCTGATCTCGGAGTCCTGCCATCCAGCTCTGCATCAGGCTCTCTGCTCAGCGAGGATTCTGCTTCTCTCTCTCTCTCTCTCTCTCTAATAAATAAAATCTTTAAATAAAACAAACAAAAAAAGAAAATCCTTCACTGACCTTAAGTCAGAGGTTCCTGAAGGAATCTTCTCTCTCTACCCTCGGGGAATTAATGAGAAAACGGTGGACTCAAGTAGAACTTAGTATCTAACTTACGCGCAGGAGGCCAACCACGTGAAGATGAAGCCACTCCGTCGGCAGAGTGGGGCGGGAGAAAACCACGGCTGGGACTGTTGACAGCCAGGTCCAGCCAACCCCAAATGCTGCTATTAGCCCTAGAATTCCAGATACATGAGCCAGGAAATGGGCTTATTGTTTAAGCCCATTTAAATTGGTTTTCTGTAACTTGTTGCCTAAAGCAGAATTTTCTGGAGAATTCGGTCCAGAACAATTCTTTTGCAATAATTGCGTATTTTAGGCAACATAATTTTGTATTGAAGAATTAAAATAATTGCTGAGTCTTCTGACTTACTCAGGAAAAATATTTATTATTAGTCTACATTTCAAACTTTTAAGATTGAGAATCAAGCCGTCACATGATCTCTGCTTTCCCAAAGCACAAGTTTCATGCCTAACACATACCCTTTACCAAAAGAATATGAGGTACTGATAAAACCAAAAGTAAGCAAGACCGTAAAAGCCAATCTTTCCTGTCCAGTGAATGAAAGGATTAATAGTATCTCCAAGCAAGTATGCATTTTGCCAATTTAAGAATAAACCCAGCTGGTTTTTGATTTACTGACATGTTCTCCACAGTGACGCAGATATTCTGAAAGATGACCCACTTTCTGGGTGACCGAAGACCTTGAGAGACTGAACGCCGTGTCTTGGGATGGGCATACGTCCAGTACACTCTTGGCAACTCATGTGCAGTGGCTGCTGAAGCTCTTCTTCTTCTACAACAACTCCCAGCTCTGAATTTTGAAATTAAGCTGTGTTTATTTTGTGTTGCCAAAGGGTTACCAAATTTCGCTTACTCTGAGTCAGATACAAAAGAGTAGAAAGGCTAGATCAGGGT